TGATCTTAAAACATAATTCAGACCCTGTCCCAGTGCTACGTGACAGGGCTCATGTCTTCCTCATCTCCCACTCCCCGGCCTGCAGCGGGCGTTCGTGGGACCGAACGTGAGGTGTCACCTTTACTGAAACACCCCCCGTGGAGCTGGCCCCCGAGTCAGGCAGGCGCTTGCGGCTTCTTTGCTCCCAGTGTGTCCGATGCGGGAAAGGAGATCGAGACCCTCTGGGCCCTGCCCCTCTCCTCCCACGTGTCAGCAGCCAGTGTCCCCCCCCCCACCAGCTCTGCGCTGCTCGCTACTCACATTTGGTGTGCCTGTCACACAGGGCGGATGCCCTCATGTCGCACAGCCGGATTGTCCCTTTGCTGCTGCTGTACACGAAGGTGTTGCAGTGATGCGGGTGGAACTCGGCTGCCGTGATCACCTCCGTGAGCTCCTCCATGTTGGCTGGCTTAATGTCCACGATGTCTGGCACAGGGGGTCAAGGAGCCACACCAGGAGGAGGGGGCAGAAACGCGGGGTGGAGAGTAACACGCGAGCGTTTACCAGGCCCGGTGGGTCCTCATCAAAACTCGGAGCGCATGGGCAGGTAGTACTGGTCCCAGGCAGACGAGGCCCGGCTGACCCAGGGGTCAGAGGCAGCATTAGAACTCAGGTCTCCCCGGCCCCTTTCCAGTATTCCGTTCTCTGTAACTGGGAGAGGTCCCATCCAAGGTATGGGCTCATGCAACTGTGCGAAGGTGTGCCAAGTTGCAGACTTCCATTTCTCATTTTGCAATGGTGGTTACCAAACTTGTCCCATGCCAACTAAATAATTCAGTTTATTGGAACCTTTACCTAGACTCCTGGGCTGATAAATAACATCTATGCTGCGCTGTGAATCCTATTCTGTGAAATCTCTGAGCTCGTCTTTAATATGTTGATAATGATGATGATGATAATATAATAATAGCTGCCATTTATTGAGCACTGACTGTAGGTCGATCACTATTCGAAGCACATCAGGTACTTTATCTCATCTAATCCTTACAACGGCTCTACAATCATCACTTTTCTTATCCGCATGTTCCGGGGGGTGGAAACAGAAGCTCAGGGTACGTAAAGTAACCTCCCCCAAGTCACGTGGCCAGAGAGTGACAGCTCTAGGATTTTACCCCAGGCACCAAATTTGTGCTCTTTAGTAATTATGCAAAACTTCTCTTATCGAAGATATTTGGGGGCTCAGGTCTCTATAAGTTGTGATTTGCTTTAGGGCTTGTGTGGGAGTTTAAGCATCAGAAAGAAGCCATCCAGTGGTATGGCGAGATAGTTTTACCTCCTGTGGGATATACCACACCCTTAGTTTATCATTGTTTTATTTTTCTTAGTTTTTTAACTTTCTGATCAAGAATTATTATACCTCCATTTTTAAAGGCCACATCCTTGTATCCTGCAATGAAACATTTGACCTTTCACTTGTGAAGGTGACTTAACAGAAACAAACATCTTCAGTAGGGTGGCTGGTACCCATGAGGCGTGGGTCTGGACTGATTCCCTCATACCCAACCGAGAGCTCAAGGGGGCCTGGGCGCAGGTTGGGAGGCACCTGGCTGGGGCTGAGGCCTGAGGACCCAGCAACTTCCTGCGAAGGAGCAGGCCTCCTGATGTGGATGCCTGTACGGGAAAGCTGACCAAAATGATTCCCACCTTTCCTACACTTGACAGCTTTGAGCCACCTCTGTGGTTTCTGCCCCACCTGCATAGCCTCAGGCTGTACTTTTATATCACAGTTCCTTCTCCTGATCAAGTTCAATTGACTCACTTGTCTTTACTTAGCCTTGTCCAAGCAGTAATCCAATATTCATAAAATCATGGGGCTAAGGAGCTAGTTACATTTTAAATAATACGCATGAAAATAAATGCGTAACAGTTAAACTCAAACCATTGCTGTGTGTGCCAGGAGTTTATGAATCTGGTTTTGGGAAACACTATTGTATGGGCAAGAGGTGACTTGATACACAGCCTCTCCTGTTAGCTGAGATGGATACAGACTCTCCTGTTAGCTGGGATGGATACAGACTCTCCTATTAGCTGGGATGGATACAGACTCTCCTGTTAGCTGGGATGGATACAGACTCTCCCGTTAGGCTGGGGTGGATACAGACTCTCCTGTTAGCTGGGATGGATACAGACTCTCCTGTTAGGCTGGGATGGATACAGACTCTCCTGCTAGGCTGGGATGGATACAGCCTCTCCTATTAGCTGGGATGGATACAGACTCTCCTGTTAGGTGGGATGGATACAGACTCTCCTGCTAGGCTGGGATGGATACAGACTCTCCTGTTAGGCTGGGATGGATACAGACTCTCCTGCTAGGCTGGGATGGATACAGACTCTCCCGTTAGGCTGGGATGGATACAGACTCTCCTGTTAGGCTGGGATGGATACAGACTCTCCTGCTAGGCTGGGATGGATACAGACTCTCCCGTTAGGCTGGGATGGATACAGACTCTCCTGTTAGGCTGGGATGGATACAGACTCTCCTGCTAGGCTGGGATGGATACAGACTCTCCCGTTAGGCTGGGATGGATACAGACTCTCCTGTTAGGCTGGGATGGATACAGACTCTCCTGCTAGGCTGGGATGGATACAGACTCTCCCGTTAGGCTGGGATGGATACAGACTCTCCTGTTAGGCTGGGATGGATACAGACTCTCCTGCTAGGCTGGGATGGATACAGACTCTCCCGTTAGGCTGGGATGGATACAGACTCTCCTGTTAGGCTGGGATGGATACAGACTCTCCTGCTAGGCTGGGATGGATACAGACTCTCCCGTTAGGCTGGGATGGATACAGACTCTCCTGTTAGGCTGGGATGGATACAGACTCTCCTGCTAGGCTGGGATGGATACAGACTCTCCTGTTAGGCTGGGATGGATACAGACTCTCCTGCTAGGCTGGGATGGATACAGACTCTCCTGTTAGGCTGGGATGGATACAGACTCTCCTGCTAGGCTGGGATGGATACAGACTCTCCTGTTAGGCTGGGATGGATACAGACTCTCCTGCTAGGCTGGGATGGATACAGACTCTCCTGTTAGGCTGGGATGGATACAGACTCTCCTGCTAGGCTGGGATGGATACAGACTCTCCTGTTAGGCTGGGATGGATACAGACTCTCCTGCTAGGCTGGGATGGATACAGACTCTCCTGTTAGGCTGGGATGGATACAGACTCTCCTGCTAGGCTGGGATGGATACAGACTCTCCTGTTAGGCTGGGATGGATACAGACTCTCCTGCTAGGCTGGGATGGATACAGACTCTCCTGTTAGGCTGGGATGGATACAGACTCTCCTGCTAGGCTGGGATGGATACAGACTCTCCTGTTAGGCTGGGATGGATACAGACTCTCCTGCTAGGCTGGGATGGATACAGACTCTCCTGTTAGGCTGGGATGGATACAGACTCTCCTGCTAGGCTGGGATGGATACAGACTCTCCTGTTAGCTGGGATGGATACAGACTCTCCTGTTAGGTGGGATGGATACAGACTCTCCTGCTAGGCTGGGATGGATACAGACTCTCCCGCTAGGCTGGGGTGGATACAGACTCTCCTGTTAGGCTGGGATGGATACAGACTCTCCTGTTAGGCTGGGATGGATACAGACTCTCCCGTTAGGCTGGGGTGGATACAGATTCTCCTGTTAGGCTGGGATGGGTGAAAGTCCTTTACGCTTTTCCTGGTTAGTAGCACAGTCCCCTCCTTAGAGTTCAGATACGGTACAAGTGAAAACACTGGTATTTTAGTTCCACCAACGCCCGCCAAGCGTTCACCTATCCAACATCGCCTCCGTCCTGCTGCAACCACTCCGGCATGCAAGTGGCTGCAATGCGGGCTTGCAGCTGGCCGTGCCCCTCCCCTGCAGTGACCTCTCACACATCCTGTTGGGTTCTTTCTCAAATTAACTTGAGACTGAAGGTCCCATTTTACTGCAATCACTCCCACCAAACCCAGGTGCAAGTAGGACTGGGGTCTCCAGAGTATGTGGCGCCCCTGGATTCACAAAATACTACCTTTCAGATCAACTGCTGCCAGAGTTATAATATTATTGCAGTCAGCCCTCCACCCTGGGGAGCGAGAGCCCGCGCCCCCCAGAACGAGGCCCGAGCCGCAGCTCTGATGTGCGCGCCAGCCCCTGACCCGTGCCCTGGGCTGGCCACCGCATGGGTGCCGTGAGCAGAAGTCACTGTTCATCTGTTGTCAGATTTCATCTCCCTCCAGAAAGAGCCTCCAGACCCTACTGTGCCAGTGAGCAGGTTTCTCTTTTCCCAAAATAGGGAAAGAAAATCTGGCGTCAGCTTTCTCTGTCTCTACCAGCGCAGCTCTAAACCCGAGGTTCACTGGAAGCGCTCTTTGCTGTGTGGGAGGGGGAGGTGCCACAGCCACGGTTATTTTTTAATCACCTAAAAATAAAGCCCCAAAGTCAGAATGTGTGAAAACAAAGTACTGACACAAATCTGGGAAACCAGCAACACCCACCACCTTCAAGAGCAGCATCCTGGGAGGTGAGCCCTGAGTGAACGGCCTCTGGATCCATCCTGCCCATCCCATCCTGGACCTCGATGTCTGCCCATCACCCCTCACCCTCAGAACATCTCCCTGTGGGAGTCAGGGGAGAAACTGTGACGTCTCCTCTTTTTAATAACCACGATGATAAAGGCGAGGGGGAAGAAAACAACCACCTGCAGTTAATGGTTATCAAGCGCCATGGACTGTCTTGTTTGACCTTCATCTCGGCCTTACGAGGTCAGTCCTATTAAAGGGTCCAATCTCCAGTACAGGAAACAAACTCCAGGCTTTCTGACCAGCAGGGGGCAGAGCTGGGATTTGAACCCGAGCTTGTCCAACTCCAGAGCCCGGGTTCTGGAGCACAGGCCACCCTCCTTCCTGAGCAGTGGCCTCCCCGGAGCCAGCCCCTCTGCGGGTGCAGGCCTGGCTCTCCTGGGGACCCCCCTCCCCCGCCTCATCCGGGAAGGAGCTCTCTTCTGCTTTGGGCCTGCGCTCTGTTAACTCACTGTCCACTTTGGGGCCACATTTTTCAGAACTACCATTGGGACACAGTATCTCACCTAGGATTTTTGTGTCCTATGATGTGCTATTTTTTTCTGAGCTAGAAGTTGAGACGGAAACATGATAAGGGATTTCCTGAACTGTTATCTGAGGGAGAATTTGCTCAGTTCTAGAAACATCTGTAAGGAGTCCAGTTACCAAAAATTCAGTGGCTCAGGGGGGTGATGGTACAGTGCCTTTCACACCTGTACCTCTAGACACCCAGGCCCCTTCCCTTACACACACCTCGGTCTGGGTGGTTTTGCCCTTCAGGTGGGGAAGGAGGGAGGAAGGACACAAGCACCACACACTCTCCGTATTATCCTGAAAATGGAATGATGCATTTTGACAGTCAATTTTCTCTGCCCCATCCTTTAGC